GGTTTATCATGGTAAGTGGGGGAATTTGTATTTTCATAATTACTTAAAACAGTTTTATAACCTTAATAAGTAAATGTTTACAAATGTTTACAAAAAATGTTTACAGTTTATTATTACATTTTTTAATGTTTTTACAGAGTGTCATTAAGAAGACAGTGTTGATCAGCCAGATAAAAACATCATTGAATTTGAAGGAAGATCAATAACATTACAATGCAAATATAAAACAGCTTTATCACAACCAGAACTTTTCTGGTACATCCAGAGAGCAAATAACATTCCTAAATACATCCTGTGGAGAAACAAATATGGAGGAGCAGATAATGATGCTCAGTTCCAGGAGAGATTTCATTCTGAAGTGTCATCAGATTCAGTTCCACTGACAATCAAGAATCTGCGTGTGTCTGACTCTGCTGTGTACTACTGTGCTCTGAGGTCCACAGTGACTAAAACACACTCAACACTCACACAAAAACAGAGCAAGTGCTCAATTATATGACGAGATGCAAATCCACAAGTTACTGACTTTTATACCACAACAATAACATGCATATAATTAAAAAATCTTTTAATTAAGAATTTAATTATTTAGTGTTGTGCAAAGTTGTGCACTCGTCACTATACATTACATAAAGTATATGTGCTGAAAAATGGTTTTAATATTCTTTTGTGAACCTGTATAAAAAAGATTTTTTGACCCGCACAATCTCACATTTATTATATTAAATGTAATGTTTGGTTTTAAAATAAGTGTATTTGACAACCAGTTTTTGGCATCAACTGTAAGAGTGTGAAAGAGGAGGAGTTTAGCACATGCATCTGAGATGATCTTGTTACATTTGTTAGACTGTCACAAAGCTCAGTCCTGCTGTAGTGAAACACACACATGCACAATGATTCTTCATTCAGTCATTCTGCTTTCTGCCTTGACATGTAAGTGCTTTTGTGTATGTTTTGCATGCATCTGTATTTCTAATTTTAAGGATATAAACATAATAATTTGTCATAAATAATCTTAAATGCTAAATTATTATAGTTAAATATCACATCCTAAATGTATTATTTTTTACCACAATGACAATGTAGCATTAAAATGTACCTGTATTTTTTTTGTATGTATAAAATTTCAAATAATTGATCACTGTAATAAATCAATTTCAAACACTATTTGAAAAGTTATTCTTTTGCTCTTTCCAGGTGTGAGTTTTGGAGATGAAATCACACCAGACAGCACTGAGGAATCTGCTGCAGTGGGTTCAACTGTTACTTTATCCTGCAGTTATTCCTCTGCAGACTCACTTCAATGGTACCGTCAGTATCCCGGATCAGCTCCTCAATTTCTTGTGCTCATAATAGAGAGTGTGAAAGAGACTAAGACATCTGATGTAGATCCCAGGTTCTCTACTAAGCTCAGAAAAGAAAAACAAGCTACAAAAGAGACCAACCGTGTGGATCTGATCATCTTCTCTGCTGCAGTATCAGACTCTGCTCTGTATTACTGTGCTCTGAGGCCCACAGTCACAGGAAACACAAGAACACTGTACAAAAACCTGACATAACTCTACCTTCTACTAATCAGACTGGAACACATAACAATCAAGAGAATCATGTTCTTAAATTGCCAACTCAGACACTGAGAGCAAAAGTCTGATAAAATACATCCAAAGAAGACACGTTTAAGATTAGATTTAATAACTTTGTACAAACCCACTATTTACGTGATTATATTTACGGTAAATGAAAGATACACTTATCAATGTAATTGCTAACAGCATTTATAAAAAAAGAAATGAAATAAATAAAAAAAATGTGTAGGTTTTTATAGGATGTTACTCTACAATAAAATATACTGCAAGTTTCAAAACTCAAAATGGTACGCTTCTGAAACGCCTGTATTTAAAAGAGAGAGAATCATGATCGTCGTATCAAAGAGGCGTGTTGTGAACATCTCATGTCTGTCCATCAAACACAAGACTGATACAGCTGTTAGGTAAAGAAAGACTTTTTTGGTGCAAAAAAGTTTGCAAACTTTTTAAACCGATCTTGATTTGAAACTGCATTTAATGACCATCATGACCTGTGATCGGTGTAATATGTAAGGACTCATATACAAACGTTCTTTGCCATAAAGTGGTTTACTGCTGTTTATGCATTAGTGAATCCAGTGACTAAACCATCAACTTCACACTGTTCCTGTTAGAAACGTGCAAATTCTGTTATCTATATTGTGATTATTTTATATACAGAAAGTAATCAAAGATCGTTCTCTTTATAATCACTGCAGCAGTCAATTCAAGATCAGCATGAGTCTATCAGTGATTTGATTTCTGCATTTTCACCAAAACTCCTGTTATAATCAACATATATTATTATTTAAAAACAAATAAAATAAAATAAAATAAATAATAATAAAAAACTCCCCAGAAAAAAGGGCACTTTCTCTCGAGGAAGAAAAAGGGTAGGTGCTCAATCCCCCTTTGATGTCTATGTGTGCATGTGCCTGGTTTAGTGGATTATCATGTGTAACACACTGTGCTGGTATAATGTGCCACAAGGTGGCAGTGTTCTCAGACATTCACTAGGAACTGCAGCAATAAACATCAACATTGAATTTACAGAACTGAACTTGGGTATCATGTGGTTCAGAGAGGAGGGACTCAGTGTTCAGAGATCTGACATGATCTAATGTGTTTGACAGAGACTTTCGTAGAAACTATTCAGTCTGACTCTTCTCAGAGTGAACACTTGTAAAATGGATCTTTATTCAGTTTTTCTGTTCTGTGCATCAGCAGGTATTTATTTG